ATCGGCATGTAGATGTCTTTAGGAGAGGCATCTCATCTAACCTGTGAATTTTCAGGCAGATCGGACATTGTTTGGCTGAGTTATTAGCCAAACTACCTTCTGCCAGCAGGTGGCGTTATGACTGACTCAATATTGTTATGTGGATGTGTTCAGGAGTGGACTTTTATCAACCATGTGAAGTTTCAGGCAGATCAAACATTGTGTGGTTGAGTTATAAGAACTTCCTGTTCCATGGCGAAGCGTTGAGGTTTGTCATGCCGCCACGGACACGCCCCTCTTCAAAAACTCTAGATCTTCACATTATATCATCGCTTGAGCTTTCAGATAACACAACCCAAATTTGGTGCTGATACGAAAAAATTTGTGGGAGGAGTTTGTTACGATGTAAAACATGTCATTTCCTGTGGCCAGCAGGTGGCGCTATAACTGTATCTGGATATCGGCATGTAAACGTGTTCAGGTCAGGACTGTTATCAAACGTGTGAATTTTGAGGCAGATCGGATAATGCATGCCTGAGTTATAACAACTTCCTGTTTTGTGACGAATCGTCAAAGTTTGCGAGGCCGCCACGGACACGCCCATCAACGAAAACTCTAAAGCTTCGCAATTTAACATCGCCAAGGCCTTTAGATGTCAAAACCCAATTTTGGTGTCGATCGGATAAAATCCCTAGGAGGAGTTTGTTAAAGTACAACGCCTGGAAATGGCAAAAACGCCACTTTTTCGCCGCAGGAAGTTAAAAATATCTGACTTCCTGTTGGGTTTGAGATATGGCTCCAAGAGACTTTTTCGTATGTTTTGGCATGTTTGAGGTGTGTGCCAATTTTCGTGCATGTGCGTGATTCGTGGATCGGGGGCTCGTCCGTTTAATTTTTCTAGGTGGCGCTGTCGAGTCATTTTGCCACGCCCACTTCCGAAGCCCTTAACAAACGTAAATTTTCGCCACTTCTGAGGCGTGTGCAAAGTTGCGTGAGTTTTCGGGCATGTTTAGCCCCTCAAAATCGCGATTCATTCCGGAGGAGAATAATAATAATAATAATAATAATAATAATAATAATAATAAACGGAGCAATTCCAATAGGGCCTACGCACCGTTTCGGTGCTCGGTCCCTAATAATAATTAAAGCTGCAAGCAGCGATGATAGGGACCTCGCACCCGGGCTCACCGGCGCCCGGTGGCCTCAGGATGACAGAGAACAGTGAACAATAACAATTTAAGCCGATATATATAAAAAACCTGAGAAATCCACAGATTTATGCCAAACTTCCTCCTGTCAGCAGGTGGCGCTATGACTGTGACTCAGTATTGTCATGTAGATGTCTTCAGGAGAATAATTTTATCAACCATGTGAAGTTTCAAGCAGTTCTGACATTGTGTGGCAGAGTTATAAGCCAAACTACCTGTTGCCAGCAGGTGGCGCTATAACTGACTCAATATTGTTATGTGGATGTGTTCAGGAGAAGACTTTTATCAACCATGTGAAGTTTCAGGCAGATCGGACATTGTGTGGCTGAGTTATAAGCCAAACTACCTGTTGCCAGCAGGTGGCGCTATGACTGTGACTCAATATTGGCATGTAGATGTCTTCAGGAGAGGACTTTTATCAACCCTGTGAAGTTTCAGGCTGATTGGACATTGTGTGGCTGAGTAATAATCAAAACTACCTTCTGTCACTAGGTGGCGCTATGACGGCCTCAATATTGGCATTTAGATGTCTTCAGGAGAGGAATTTAATCAACCATGTGAAGTTTCAGCCAGATCAGACATTGTGTGGTTGAGTTATAAGGACTTCCTGTTCCATGGCGAAACGATGGAGTTTGTCATGCCGCCACGGACACGCCCCTCTGCGAAAACTCTAGATCTTCACAATATATCATCGCTAGAGCTTTCAGATAACTCAACCCAAATTTGGTGCTGATACGAAAAAATTTGTGGGAGGAGTTTGTTACGATGTAAAACATGTCATTTCCTGTGGCCAGCAGGTGGCGCTATAACTGTATCTGGATATCGGCATGTAAATGTGTTCAGGTCAGGACGCTTATCAAGCATGTGAATTTTGAGGCAGATCGGATAATGCATGCCTGAGTTATAACGACTTCCTGTTTTGTGGCGAATCGTCAAAGTTTGCGAGGCCGCCACGGACACGCCCATCGACGAAAACTCTAAAGCTTCGCAATTTAACATTGCCAAGGCATTTAGATGACAAAACCCTATTTTGGTGTCGATCGGATAAAATCCCTAGGAGGAGTTCGTTAAAATACAACGCCTGGAAATGGCAAAAACGCCACTTTTTCGCCGCAGGAAGTCAAAAATATCCGACTTCCTGTTGGGTTTGAGATATGGCTCCAAGAGACTTTTTCGTATGTTTTGGCATGTTTGAGGTGTGTGCCAATTTTCGTGCATGTGCGTGATTCGTGGATCGGGGGCTTGTCCGTTTAATTTTTCTAGGTGGCGCTGTCGAGTCATTTTGCCACGCCCACTTCCGAAGGCCATAAAAAACGTAAATTTTCGCCACTTCTGAGGCGTGTGCAAAGTTGCGTGAGTTTTCGGGCATGTTTAGCCCCTCAAAATCGCGATTCATTGGAGAGAAGAATAATAATAATAATAAACGGAGCAATTCCAATAGGGCCTTGCACCGTTCGGTGCTCGGTCCCTAAATATATACAAAATAAATAAAAGATAGATTTGTGAGGGGTGTACTTATATATGCTGAGAACTGTTTACGTATACGTTATATATATATATATATATATATATATATATATATATATATATATATATATATATGTGTGTGTGTGTGTGTGTGTGAGTGTGTGTGTGTGTGTGTGTGTGTGTGTGTGTGTGTGTGTGTGTGTGTGTGTGTGTGTGTGTGTGTGTGTGTGTGTGATATTTGTTTTGTATATATTTGTTGAGTTTATCATCCACATTTTAAAAGCATTCAGGCATTTGAAAGTGTAACTTTATTGACTTTATCTATACAGTGAAGACTATGCAATATCATTTAATATTTGATTATACAAATTCTGTACCTGTAACCATAAAACAAAGTTTATTTCATTTGTATCTTTTGCTCAGTGTTAGGGGTAATGCATTACAAGTAACACAAGTCACATAATAATATTACTTTTCCAATTAACGAGTAAAGTCACGCATTACTTAAAAAAATAGTAATAATATTTGTTACTTTTTTAAAAATGTAATGCTAGTCACTTTTTAGTTTGATTAATGAGCTTTTAAAAAATAAATTGCTAAATTAAAATTTAAGTAGTCACAATGCATCAATGAGAGAATGTGTTCATTATTTTGGGTGCATTGAAGAAAAGGAAATTGCTATCGTCTCAATGAACAGTGATTTTACTAGACAAAATAGACAAATTTTACAAAATAAATTTACAAATAGTACAAAAATAGCAAACACACGTTGTTTTAAACTTTCATTAATCTGTATGTATGGCATGTATAGCTCCGGGGAGGAAGTTCTCAGATAACATTATCGTAAAATGGATTTTTTTAAAGTGTATTTTTTAAAGATAAATGTATGTGTTGGTTATACAGTGCAGTGTTAAATGCAGAGCTCCTCTATTACAATGCAAAAAAAAACAAGTTCTGAAAGAGATCAAGCCTCAGCAAGGTGATAAGTAACACAAAAGTAACTCCAAAGTAACCTAATGCATTACTTACTTTAACAAGTAACTAAGTAAAGCAACTAGTTACTTTTTGGGGGAGTAACTCAACATAGTAATGCATTACTTTCAAAAGTAACTTTCTCCAACACTGCTTTTGCTCTATTGCAGTGGTTCTTTTTTCACCAAGTACACCTCAGAAAAAAATTGTCTCTCCAAGTACCACCATAATGATAGTACTTAATGTGAATATACTTAATATTAAGTACTTTAATTAAGTACTTTAATACATTTTAATAGAAAATATAAAAATACACATTTTTACCAGACAAGTTAGTACAAACTACCATTAATGAAGTCATTTAAATTAATATTAAATATAACAATCTAATAATTATTTCAAAAGATTTAAAATATGTATAAAATGTAAAGGAAAACAAATAAACACAGATTAAAGCGAAAATGAACAAATATTATACTAAATTATATAAATGCATCAAAGTATAAATAAACACAATATTATGAATGAATAAAAAAATTAATAATACATGTTATAATTGAATTGCTCTGTGTTTGTAGATTGTTTGTTTATTGTATTTTATGGAGATGCACTCCCTTACAGTATCATGCTAATCAATCTAAAATTTAAACTCTTTAAAATTAAAGCTATTCAAGTCAAATTGGTGAAACAGGTGATTCATATTGCAATGTATGTCGTAGAAAAACAAAAAATCGCAATGTCACATTTTTAAAATATTGTCCAGCCTGTTTGTTTTGCATTACTAGAAGTAAAATCCAAACAATATTTAGGCTACAATCATTATACTTCATTTGTCATGGCCAAAAATAATCTGCGTCCATTTCTGCACAGAATTTTGAGAAAAATATGCATACTTATTGGTGATATGCTTTTGGGAGTATCATAACTAAAAACTTTGTATAAAAAGTAATACCCTTTTAACTTTTATTTAATGTTTACAATCCAAATCCAATTAGATTCACTCATTTGATGAACAAAGCAAGTCTCTCACATAATATCTCTACTAAAAGACCTGTATTGTAAAAAAAATGAAATGAAAATGTTCATTTTAGTCAATAATATTACTGAAATTAATTTATAAGCTAAATAAACATACATTTACACAAGTAAATAAATAATGGGCTAAAAATCTGCAAATTTCTGGCCATGGAGATAACGTGTCGGCCTATGTATAGGTCATAAAATGTGATTAACCTGACTTCAGGTCAGCTGAATCATGTTCTACCTACATAAGCTATGCAGTCAGCAGGGGGCGAGAGAGGACAGGTTGATATAGGCTTGGGACAGGAAAATGGAGGAAAGGAAAATGGAATGGAAGACCAGAGAAAGACTTACAGGAACAAGTTTCCAGTACCAGCGGGTGGGACACTGTCAGAAAGAAGTGAAGGAACAAGAGAAAGAGGCACGAGGGGAAGTGAGAAGACGACAGAAGATAGGATAGGTATTAGATAGCAAAGCAGACCTTGAGGAAAAAGATAAGGCTGCTAAGGAAATGAGTGACTGTTTTGTGTAAAGGTACAGGGGTCAAGTTATCGTACACATGTGGCCTTTGAGCTTTCTGGCAAGTCTGTCAAGCTTGTTAGTTTCTTACCGAGGGTTGAACAGGCTGTGGTTCAGCAGACTGAGATGTGTCGATTTGTGTACCTTCAGTTTGTTCCTTCAATTTTTGATTCAGCTACATAAAAGGAATAAAAAAAGACATGTTATGAAAATGAAATGACACCAGAAGTCAAAGAAGTGTACATGACGCTATTTGCTGAGAGTCATGCCCACTGTGGGGTTTTATTTTTGTGAAGGTGTTCACAGGGTTTTATTTTAGGATCAGTTGTATAATATATTATGGGTTTGTATTATTAGTAAGCCAACATATAAACAGTGTAAATATTTTAGGTACAGTTTCTTCTGATAATAAACATTCTGGAATAATTTAACAACCTTCATGTAGTTTCAAATCTGTTTAACTTTCCTACATGGGGCAGAGCTTTAATAGAAATAGCTTTCTTAATACAATTAAAGTCAATGTGACCCTCAAGTTCCAAGAAGGTATAAAAAGGGTTTAAAAAAGTAATCCAGGTTTTTTTAGGGAACGACAATGCTTTTTGGTAAGCAGAGAGAGTTTTAATTTTAACTTTATACATTCTCTCTTCAAAAATATTTGGATTGAATTAAGAATCCAATGGTGCCCTCCAAAGACGAAGCTCATAAAAGTTTGGTAAAGCATGACAGTGAGCAGATAAAGTGCTGAATGCATGACATGTTTTTGTAGGCCACAACCCAAAAATTAGTTACTATTGTGGCACCATCGTATATATATATATATATATATATATATATATATATATATATATATATATATATATATATATATGTGTGTGTGTGTGTGTGTGTGTATATATGTATATATATATATATATATATATATATATATATATATATATATATATATATTAGGGATGTAACGGTATTGTAAATACCGTCATACTGCAATGTTAATTTTTTTCGATATTACCGAAGTCGCATGACTCGGTAAAACTATAGGTCTTCTGAGAAAATTTGCTCAGGCGAATGAAGCGAACGGGAGGTAGCGAAAACTACAATTCCTATCATCCCTTGCGGTCTGTTGTCGCTACAGATCCAGTAATGCGGAAATGGAGTGTGCTGCTAGAAGCGGGGATCAAAAAGGGCTGTAAAACTCTAAGGCCCCGTTTACACTAGTGCATTTTAGTTTTAAAACGGCGTTGTAGAATGAAAACGATCCGCGTCCACACTCGCGTTTTACCCAGCGTTTCTGAACAGCTCTCCGTCCACACCAAAACGCTGAAAACGCACATCACGTGACCACAGACACTCTCGGGCAAGCGCTCCAGCATTTCTTCAGCATTTCATTGAGAGCTCTGCTTGTCGGACTGCTCATCAAGCATCTCCCGCTGGATCTAATCTTGCTATATTTGCGAAACGTGATATTTCATTCATGTTGTTGTCTTTATCTAACGACATAGGCCAATTCCCTGACTTTGGTCATTGGAATCTATTAAGTTACTTGTTCACGGGTAACATGTTTTGGTTAAGCGCAAAGATAAGTTAATGATTAATCCAGGTACATTGACTGATCGCTTGCCTTTATTTCCTACAATGTATAAACTTATTGTATGTTATACTTTTATAATTGTCGATTATTAAAACTGATAGTCAGCAAAAGAGAGGCTGTGTTTCGTATTTTCACTGAAATTGAAAGGAGGTAGTTGTTATAGGCTCCGTTTTGTTATAAATATCCACACAGTGAAGATGACGCTCATATATGCAGCACGGCGCCTCAACATTTCTGCTGTCTGTTAAGTTTTCTAATATTAAAAAGGAAATATGCAGTTCCTTAAATCATGTTTACATTTTATTGTTGAGAAAGTGAAACAACGTAGCCAAGGTGATGTGAATGAAGTTATAAAGTACACTGTTCCCTTTGAAGATTTACCCGTGTCCTCGGTATGTTTTCCATATCAAACTGAGAAGGGGGAGACTGCAGCCTTGATCAAACTTGCGAAGTCTTAACTTACAAGAAGAGGATGCGAGACTGAACTGTGTGTGGGCTACTTAATATTGAGGAAAAGCCCCAATCAGATAGGCGAACGTTTGCAGCCCCGCCTCCGTTTTCAGATGTCTCCGTCTTTCCCCATCCACACAGAGACGGAGCAGCAGCGTTTCAGAATGAAAACGGCCTCTCCAGCGTTTTCGAAACGCTCCGTTTTCGGCGCTCGAGAAATAAGTCATATAAGTCAAATCTCTCTTGTCCCAGAAACCTCAGTCCCAAATGAGAGGTTTTTTTTCTGTTGCAGGGGACATTGTAAATGCCCAGAGATACCAGCTTTTACCAGATTATTTTTATATGATAATTTTCCTTTAAACCCATCTCTATCTAAGTGAGTGAGTGAATAAATGTTGAATGTGATGAGTTTTCAACAATACTAAATAAAAAAATTTTTTTTTTTTTTACATGGTTTAATATTTTTTTTTTGTTATTAAAATTGAAGTTCCTGTTTCAAAGCTTACAGATAGATGGCTAATTTGTATGTCATTGACACTTTGGGCACTTTTTTGGAGTATTTTCATAAGTTTTGTTTTTTCCTGTAAATGATTCAATAAATACCGTACCGTGACATTGATACCGAGGTATTACCGTACCGTGAAATTCTGATACCGTTACATCCCTAATATATATATATATATATATATATATATATATATATATATATATATATACATATATATATATATATACATATATACACATATATATACACACACACACACACATATATATATATATATATATATATATATATATATATATATATATATATATATATAATTTAATATTATTATTAGTATTATTATTATTGTTTTTATTATTATTTTACTTTTATTTTATTTTTTATTTATTTATTTATTTATTTTATTTATTTTTAATTATTTTTTTTTCCATTTAATTCAATTTTATTATTATACTTTTAGTTAGTTAGTTAGTTAGTTAGTTAGTTAGTTAGTTATTTAGTTAGTTAGTTAGTTAGTTAGTTAGTTAGTTAGTTAGTTAAATGCCCAAATATAGACTTTAGGTCAACAAGCTTCAGATCCACGTATTATTCAAAAAAATATAAATTACCTCAGTAATACCCCCATGTTTTTCAGTTTTTACTGGAGCGTTTACTAAGGTTTTTCAAAAGGTGATGGCTAATAAGAGTCTAAATGGGAGTGCTGAGGCACATCAAGTCAAACCTCATCTAACCTTTACAGCCGCATTTACAGTGTTTCAAACAAGACTAACTCAAATATTAAGGAGAAATATTGTTGGAAGCTCAATGGTGGTCAGTGGTATATGGTTATGTTACCCTGCATTTAACTTTTAATTCATAGCGATTGTACTTAAGCTTCAAAAGTTGACTGAAGATGTGTTCTTTTGGGAAGATTAACTCTATGAAGTATACATGCAAGAATTGTAAACTTTTGGAGGTCACATAAACTAACAGCCAAAGGAAAATCAATACTGGAATTCTTTTAATAAAATGAAGGTTGGCCTACACTAATATACCATTACTGCATCTTTCTATCATAAAAATGTATCATGTGTGTACATTTTACCATAGTTTAAAAGATTGTGAATGGAAGTTAAGATAAGCTTATTAGTTTATGACATGTTCAAGCTGCTGAAGAAGCGCTGTGGCTGTGTTTTACCAGACTCACCATCTTCACCCAGCAAAGCAGGGCTCTGTCCCATGTCGTATCTGTACCCAATAACTCCGATCCGCTCCTCGCCAAGACTGTGCTCACCGTCTCCATGGCACCCACTGCCATTAAGGCATCTATCAACTCCAAGTGGGCACTCTGTACCAATGAGAGGAAACAAACAGCACGATCAGAGCATGGAGAAAACCCAGCTGTCATTATGAACACTGACCTAATGCGCTTAATGCAATAACGCTGTCCGGCAACATTCAGAACAGCAGCAAAAGAGACTACAGCACAGAGGAGTCTCTACTGCAGAAATAATATGAGTGTTTTTGTTTCCTGCACAAGTGTGGGTGACACAAGAGCAAAAGACAGTACTCAGGGTGAATGACTCAGAGCAATAGAAACCTTGCATGATTACCATGCATATGCAGTGTTTTGCTTCATAACTCATCCTTGAAGAAGTGCAGTCAAGCAGCAAGAAAAGTGGATCAATATTGAGCACTGACTTCCTGTTGTGCCTTTTCTCTTTTTAAATGTTGCAGCGGTATTGTTCCCCTCCCTCTCATGATATATTGCAGTATGACTCATGGGTGACAGACTCCAGGATACAGGGCTGTGCTGCAGAACAGCTCAATGGGGACTGCAATTCCAAACCCTCAGCATTCCTCATTTATGTTGCAGTCAGTTTGTGTGTGCGTGTCAGTGTGTGTGTGTGTGTACTGGTTTTTGTGGTTTATGAGGGATTTGTATAATACTGTTGGTATGACTCGTATTACAATGTTGAGGTGGTTTATGAGAACATGTGTGTCCTTGTAATTCAAAACGTTTAAAAAAAATCTTTAGCAGTGTCTTTTGACATCCAAAAATTGCAATGAGGGTTTGATTGGGGAGGTATTTGGGTGGTTGGTCACTCACATATGTTATTAAACTATTAGAATTACCATATTGTATCCATAACCTACAGAAGATATAGTTTTTAACTGGAAATATATTTCATATATACTTATTATTTAATAGTTACATTTAAAAAACAACAACATGCAAATAAATAGCCATCAGCCTTTATATTTTTTTTCTATTGGATTGCGACCCCTGGGGTTATTATGATAGATTAACGCCACAGCAATAGAGTTATTTTCAGAAGATTGATTTTGCGGTACAATGTTAAACTTTGGCACCTTTAAGGCACACGCAAACATTAAAAATAAAGCCCCCAACTGAACATGGAGGATGATCTCCAAGTAGCGGTCTTCAAAATTGTATCAGGAATAATAGTCTTGTGCTGTAAACATTGTGCCCACTATTCTCATTAAGTGAGGTTAATATTAAACAAACAGATAATGACTATAAAAAATGATATTGTTGTTAGACTGTTGCACTTTGAGTTGTCAATATGCTTGTGTTTATATAATTCCTATTGGTGTGTGTGCACCATTGTGTGCAATATTTGTATACATCGCGAGTCACTGGAGTTGTTATTTTTGGGGTCGTGGGCTGAAAAGTTTGAGAACCCCTGATATAATAAACCGATTACAGTATAAAATACATAGATTAAAATGCCAATTAGTCCTCATAAGCCACCAAAACAAGTATACGTTTGTGTGAATTGTGTGTAAAAAAACACAGTGAGGGAACTTGTTAAAAACATTATAATTTCATATTATATTATATTATATTATATTATATTATATTATATTATATTATATTATATTAATTATATTATATTAATTATATTATATTATATTATATTATATTAATTATATTATATTAATTATATTATATTATATTATATTATATTATATTATATTATATTATATTATATTATATTATATTATATTATATTAATTATATTATATTATATTATGTTATATTATAAGCGAAAAAGTGGTGCAGTAGGTAGTGCTGTAGCCTCAAAGCAAGAAGGTCGCTTGTTCGATCCCTGGCTCAGTTGGCGTTTCTGTGGGAAGTTTACACGTTCTCCCTGCGTTCCCTGCTGTCTGGCCAGTTTTGTCTAAATGTAAACAGTTTCTATAATTTTTTAACAATATCAAACCTAATTAATAAATGAAATCCAAGATAATTATGAATGAAGAAAATGTACAACGAATTTTATAGCAAGCTGTCTACATTATTGCATTTGATGTATATGGCTAGAAACTAGCCTAGAGCATGCCATCTGCAGTCAAAAACTAGCCTACAGTGTCATCCTCTGTTTAAAACTAGACTAGAATGCCATCTAATGTTAAAAACTAGTCTAAAATGTCATCCTCTGTTAAAAACTAGCCTAGAGCACATCTACTGTTTAAAACTAGTCTAGAATGTCATCCCCTGTTAAAAACTAGCCTAGAGCACATCTATGTACTGTGAAAAACTAGTCTTGAATGTCATCCTCTGTTAAAACTAGACTAGAATGCCATCTACTGTTAAAAACTAGTCTAGAATGTCATCCAATGTTAAAAACTAGCCTAGAGCACATCTACTGTTAAAAACTAGCCTAGAGCACATCTACTGTTTAAAACTAGTCTAGAATGTCATCCTATGTTAAAAACTAGCCTAGAATGTGCCATCTACTGTTAAAAACTAGTCTAGAGTGTCATCCTCTGTTAAAACTAGACTAGAATGCCATTCATTCATTTGTTTTCTTGTCGGCTTAGTCCCTTTATTAATCCGGGGTCGCCACAGCGGAATGAACCACCAACTTATCCAGCAAGTTTTTATGCAGCGGATGCCCTTCCAGCCGCAACCCTTGTCTGAGAAACATGCACACACACACTCATAAACTACGGACAATTTAGCCTACCCAATTCACCTGTACCACATGTCTTTGGACTGTGGGGGAAACCGAAGCACAAGGAGGAAACCCACGCGAAGGCAGGGAGAACATGCAAACTCCACACAGAAACGCCAACTGAGCCGAGGTTCAAAGCAGTGACCTTCTTGCTGTGAGGCAACAGCACTACCTACTGCGCCACTGCCTCGCCCCTAGAATGCCATCTACTGTTAAAATTAAAAACTAGTCTAGAATGTCATCCCCTGTTAGCCTAGAGCACATCTACTGTTTAAAACTAGTCTAGAATGTCATCCTATTTAAAAAAAAAAAAAAAAACTAGCCAAGTATGTGCCATCTACTGTTAAAAACTAGTCTAGAGGGTCATCGTCTGTTGAAACTAGACTAGAATGCCATCTAATGTTAAAAACTAGTCTAGAGAATCATCCTCTGTAAAAAAAAAATAATAATAATAATAATAAATAAATTTTTAAAAAACTAGCCTAGAGTGTCATCCTCTGTTAAAAACTAGCCTAGAGCGCTGTCTACTGTTAAAAACTAAGCTCAGAATCGATTCAAGAGAAAATAGCAATGCATTTAAAAAATTTCTGAACAAATACAGAATTTTGGGAATGATTTTTTGCCACAATAAAATTTTTTTTTTTAAAAATATATATCCGAGTACTTGTCTCAAGTTTCATCGTAAACTGTAAATTATATCATAAACATTTGAGACAGACCTTTGGTTATTCATTTATTTAGTGGTATTTAACATTTTTATTCCTAACTCTTTAACTGTGTTTAATATTTTCAATAGGTTATTAATTAGTATGGCAACTGTGTATATATTGAGCTCAACACTGCGAAAGTAGGAAACACAGCTGACCAGGCACCTCAGTTCAGAACGCATGTGATTTTTTTGGATTAGTTGTAGTGTTTAACAATAACAGGATAAAATTTTAGAATTTGCATGCATTTTAAAGGCCTTTTACTGTGCAAACATTCAATGTGTTATTATTAGTTGAGTATTATTAGAGTGTGAGTGTCCAAACCACTCATTTATATGCATTTATTTTTACATTTATATAGATTCAAGCAGCACAGTTTAGTTTTAGTTAACTTAATGACCCTGCACACAAAGCCATCTCCAAACATTGACAGTGTCCAATGACAGCTTCATCTCAGACGCTGTAGCAGAAAGGATAACCTTCATCCTCCCAGCCCATTACAGTGAGTCCACTCACACCCAAACCCATTAAAACAAGCCAACCACATTATCAGCTCAGTCAGGAGAGCACCTTAGCTCAGATAAGAGGGTTAAGCCATTAACTGCTCTATACGCTTTACTAAGGAACGTTTACTACTCCAACATCAAGACAACCTTTAGTACCTGCAGCCCAAACCACTGATCAACAGTAATTTACCATCTAACAAACAGGTGAAGAGAACAAAACAGTCTAGGTTAAATTTTGATGCTAAAATTTATTTTAATTTCTGCTAAATTGAATAAACCTCCATCTTGGAATAATATGGTTCTGTCAGCATTTAAAGCAGTTATGAAATATTCATCTTGAGAGTCTACACCAGGGGTGGGCAAACTCAGTCCTGGAGGGCCGGTGTCCTGCACAGTTTAGCTCCTACTCTAATCAAACACACCTGCTTATAGATTCTAGTGATCTTGAAGACACTGATTAGCTTGTTCAGCTGTGTTAGACTAGTGTTGGAACAAAACTCTGCAGGGACACCGGCCCTCGAGGATCAAGTTTGCCCATCCCTGGTCTACACAGTTAGAAATTTTATTGTTAAAGAAATGCAAGTTATCGCAACAGCCCCTTTACATGCAGTAATTTAACTGTAAATGTGTTTTACAGTAGCAGGGCCCTACAGCAATTTAATTTTTTTTGACAGTAAAACTTCCTTACGCAATTTCTTTTTATAGTAAGATGCCATTTACCACATTTTAATTTTACAGTATGTATAAAACCTTTATTTTTAGTATTTACTATTTTTTTCATAAACAGTCTAATTTTAGTTTTTACCTATAGTAGCAATACTTGACTACTTTGCTTACAGGAGAATACCGCAAATTCCTAATATGCAGTAAGTTACTGTAAAAGTTTTAAAATGACACACAATGCAGTGCATATTCCAGTAATAAACTGTAAAGAATGCATGTAGTATTTATCTGGCCATTTTTGCAGTAAATGACTGTACAACGTGGCAAAGTCTACGTGAGCAGGAAGCTGCTGAAGACGTTGGGCCCTATCATATACCTGGCGCAATGCAGCGCAAGGTTAGACGCAATTGTTGTTTGCTAGTTTCAGCTTGGCGCAAGAGTCGTTTTGACGTTTTGCACCACGCTGTTTAAATAGCAAATGCATTTGGC